GGGTTAATTGTGGATTGTACAGCCGCTCTCTGTATTCAACTCTCTCAATAGTGAAATCCCTGCAGCTTCGTAGACGTAGGCAAATTGCCGAACCACGTAAAATCTGTGTCTTGTTCTTTCTTGTTTCTTATTGTTTTATATTCTTGATTTATTTTTCGATTGTGTATGTTTGTTAGTGGATTTAAATCGTGTTAAATCCCAACACTACAATGAAGAGCTTGGTGCACGAACGCGCACGAAGGCGGGACAACTGTTATGACCTAAACTGAATTGGATCACTACTAGTTTGGGCAGTGGGTTAGATGGGGACTTGGGTTTGTTGGTGTGAATTGCAGTGGATTGGGTATAGTTGTATGTGCTAACTGTCGATAGAGTTAACTGTAGTGGGTTAGGTATAGTGGGCTGGTTTAACTGGGTAGTGTCAGTATATGGTCTGGGCAGTAGGTGGTCTGGACTTGGGCAGTAGTTCGACAACTGTGACTTAGGTTGTTTGTTGGTCTGGGTTGTTTGGTCTGCTGGTTTGGGTTTGTGGGTTTGGTAGTAGTTGGGTTTGTGATGGTGAGTTTGTGGGTCTGGGTTCTGGTTTGTCGGTGGACAGTGGGTTGGTGAAGGAGGACTTGGGTTGTTTCACAGTCGGTGTTTTTTTTTTTTAGGTGTGGTTATTTGGCTGTGTTGGTTGTTTGGGTAGTTTGGTTTATAGCTATGAAATTGGTGGAGTGGGTTTTGTTGGTGGTTTTGTGATATGGATGTTGTTCAGTTGGTCTGGGCAGTCGATGAAGGTAGCCAGTGATTTGCACTGTGGGCAGGTGGTGAAGGTCAAGGTAGTTAGTGAGTTTGCTAGTTTGGTTCGGTGCTGGCCTGGGTGGTTTTTGTTGGTCGGTTACTGGTCTGAGCAGTCGGCCAGGGTAATTGGTGGTTTCGCTAGGCAATTTGCTGGTAGTCGGTAGGTGGTTTACTGGCAGTCTGGGTCGCTACTTGTTGGGTGCTGTTTGGAGGACAGGGAGTTGTGGCTGTTGAGTATGGTGGAGGTTAGGGTTAGGGTAAAAAGGTAAAAAAAAGAAAAACGCTCATAAACCTTAATAAACTAGACTGCTATTTCTTCAACACATTCCAAATAATTGAAGCAATCACTTGGCATCAATGCAAAAATTCCCAGATCCAGAATTTGAAATTTCGTTGCAACTAATATCGAGAAAATCCTTGCGTTCAAACCTTTAGCTAAACTTGAAATCAAAAAAAAAAAAAAAAAAAAAGGAAAAAAGAAAACGTTTAGAAAACGGTGTTGTCAAAAATCAGACCATTATACACATTGTTGATTCACTATTTAAAACATGTGAGTGTGATGTTGAGACTCTTAAAACAATCGACAAAGTAACACATTCCCAAAAAAAGTGAAAACAGAGGAATTAAGCATAAAAGGGTCACTTATTTTGTCCCTAAATAATTTGAAGCTCTTTTCCCCCGTTATGCGCAGCCAAATGTGGAAGAATTGCTATTCAGATTTCCAAGAAAAGTTAAATTCAGCAAAACAATCAACTAAAATTTGGTGAATATTCAACGCACTAACATAGCCGGCCAGTAAATAACCACACTATCAAAACATAACATAAAACAAAGAACAAACCAACTATGTGCCTAATACCACACACAACACAAATAACTCCCAACGATCCAAATACGAATATCAGACACTCTTACATAAATATAATTACTTCAAGCAATAACCAAGTCAAGCACCAACAGTGATATTATTCGTTCCATTCAAAAATTCGTGGAGAAAATAATCATCAAACAACCTAAACTAGAATAAATAAATAATTAGCGAAATAAAATAAATGACTAAATTTCAAAGCAGTGGCCTAAATAAAACAGAATTGCTCAATCAATTAACTTGAAATTTGTGGCTTCAACTGAGAAAGTAACTTGCAACTGTTTCACTACTATACTGAATAGACCAATTAACCATAAACAATGTATATAACAGGGAAAAAACAATGAACAATGCACATACCGGAAAAAAAAAAAAAAAACCAATGAACAATGTATTATTCTTTAAATTACTCTCTTTATCAAAGTTTTCTTCCATCCTAAATAAAAACCCATTTTATCACTTTCTACAAAAATAAAGGTAATTTCGTCTCTCATTAACACAAAACAAAAAACATAAAAAATAATTGAAAAGAAAAATGTGATATTGGACCATCCAAGACATAAAAATCGGGTGCATGGCCAAGTAATCAATTGAACCTATATAGACTGTGGAGTCATGTAAGCTTGAAAATATGTCACTACCACTATGCCATGCCAACATTATCCATATTGTATACTCATTTAACCATCCCTCAAGTAAAAATAAAGAATTATAATATTTAAGTTACATATATTCAAACTCACGCTATAAAATCACAAAATCCGTGATAATTAAAGTCATCGCACATACATGAAAGTTATAATATATCATTTACTTAGTGAATGACCCAAGTAAATTGATGGAGGTGCCCAGGCAAACTAGGATTTCATATTTTAAAATTTCAGGATATCTGGGTAAAGTATCCTACTTTTAAATTACTGATTTACAGTAAATGGAATGGGGACTACTCTGAAAATCCTATTGAAAATTTATTCTTAAAGTTGAAGTATTTCAAGGCGCATCTCAAACTCTAGAACAAGGAGGTCTTTGGGAAAATGAAATTGCAAGAGGATTAGTTATTATGGGCAGAGTTGGCAGTTCAGAATGGTGATTCAGAAACAAATATGTTGGGACTAGAGAGAGATAAAGCAAAGTTGGATGACACTTTGAGGTTGGAGGACGTTTTCTGGAGACAAAGGAAAAATTGAAAATGGTCTTTGCAAGGTGAAAGAAATATAAAATTATATCATGCTATGGCCAAAGGTAAGGTAGTGAGGAATAGAATATTGGTGATTAAAGGTGAAATCAATTAGTGACCAGAGGATGAAAGTGCTATAGCAAATAATGCGATTTGCTTCTTTTCTTAACTATATAAGTCAGAGGATCATTCTATTAAAGAGGATTTGTTATCAGTTATTCCTAAGCGGGTTTCTCAAGAAGATAATGATCGACTGATTTGTCCTGCTGCTATGGAAGAGTTGCAAAAGGTTGTTTTCTCTATCCAATTGTCACACCAAAAATCAGTAGCCTCTCCTGAACCTACCAGCACCTGAGAGTTAATAAGAACAACTTCAAACCATGGGAATAGAGTTTTAAAGATTCTGGAGATTAAGTGATCTTTACTGAGAAGCATATGCTTGTTTCTGAAAAACTTTTTTTAGTAAAAACCTCTGACCATAGAGAAGTCCCTGCAAAAAAATTTCAAACCTGCTTAATACGAAAAGCTTTCTCAATCTCATCAAATTTCTTGAGTCCCAATCCTCCCTCTTCTTTTGGAACAGTTAGAGCATTCCAAGAGATCCAATGTCCTTTCGTCACCCGTGACTTGTTTGACCATATTAACCAGGCATCATAGAGTTCAACCTGGATTTGATACCGTTTGGTAGATTAATACAAGCCAAAATATGAATTGGAATAGCATTAAGAACTGACTTAACCAAAAACAACTCTTCCCATATTTGACAACATCTTTGAGTCAATCTGACTCTAATTTCTGCACCACATCCTCAAAATGAATCAAATTTGTTCTACCCTTAATAATTGGACATCCCAGATAAGTAAAAGGGCAAGCCTTAACTGGATTCTTAGCTGTATTAGATTCCTGGCTTGAGATATCCTAGAAGAACAATGCATAAAACTTTTTTTCCTATTAACCTTTTGCCTAGATGAATCCTCATATTTTTTTATGAAAGAGAGCAAATTGGCCAGAGATGATTTATTCCCTTTCAAAAATGTCAAAGTATCATTTGCAAAAAGCAAATGACTCAATAGATAAGACCCTCGACCTGTATGGAATCCTTTCACCAACCCATCTCGATATATCCTTTTCAAACCTCTACTCAAAACCTCCTCGGCAACAATAAATAGACTTGGGGAGATTGGATCCCCTTGCCCAATCTCCTAGATGTGGTAAAGAAACCATATCTTTGGTCATTGATAATCAGAGATATATTTTAATTGTGCAAACAGTTACTAATAATCTTCACAAAACTGTCAAAGAAAACAAGACAGCTCAGAGAATGCAATAAGAAAGGCGTAGGTGGCAAATCAACTGGATAAAAATAATAAAATAATATAATGAGGTAATGAGCATGCAAATTGCACTTGTCCACCCCAATGAGATGAAATGAACCTGCAATTATGTACAAAAAACCCTGCAAATTTTTTTTTTTTGGGGGGGGGGGTGGGTAGCCTATGTAGAAATTAAGACACTCGTTGTTCATGGCACCTAGTAGATGAATATGGTTTTATGCCTTTCCCTAAGTGGAGTAATTCTGTTTTCGAACCTTTTACGAGAAGGAAAATGATAGGTTAGGAACCCCTTTGTGATAACCAAATGTACCCCTTAAAAGGAATAGTTACTAATAGATTATTGTCTTAATTTTCCCAATTTAGAACTATTTTTGTACTTAGCTTCTTTCTCATAGACTATGCTTGCTCCACTTGTATAGGTTAAGATGAAAACCCACATCTTCCCAAACCTTTTCATTCCTTGCTGGACTCCTCTTTGATCATATATGTGGTGAATTTGTGTTTGCAGTTAGTTGTATTCTTTGCTGATTTCGAGAATCTTTGATTGAGGAAATGCGGGTTAAGTAATAGTTTGGTGATACAAAGGATTAGATAAGTTCACTAGTTGGTCTGTGCTTGCTGCAAATCTTACTCAGAGGTCCAAAGAACAGCCGTGAAGCAGTGAAATATTTCGGCTAAGCTCCTGGCGTGCCCCACAGCCACACCAAACCATATGTTCGGTCAAAGGGAAGGAAATTTAAGAGAGTCAGAGGAAGAAGGAACAGCCGAAGATTTAGGGTTTGAGTCTTTGTGTAGTTCTTGGTCTTTCTCCCACCAGCTAAACTTGTCAGTTTTGTGGGAGGCATAATCTACTGTTAACCTAGACACTGCTGCTTTATTGTTTTTTCAAATCAACTCTAAGTTTGAATTTTGAATTTTCGCTTCCCCCTTTCTCTATAGCTGCTGCGAAGTTTTGGGTTTGAATTTCTTCTTTCCCCTTTCTTTATTTGCGTTAGTCGTTCAATTTGTTACCCCGTATTCTAATCATCTATTGTCTTAGGAGGCTTCTATATGTGATCCTATTTTGCTTTTCATGCCATTTGGAGACAACTTTGAAGGCAGCTTGAAGTTCATCTCATTCTCCTGAATAAATTTTCTTTTTGTGTATTTGGTGCGCCTACAAGATGTGTACATTATGATTCAAACTTGAGGTATCTCAATTACACAATGATATGAGTTAAGCAACACTGTTTCTCTTCATCAAATTTCAATATACCCACGTAATATAATTAATTGACTTCAAAAGTCATCTGATATCAACTTAGGATAAAACTCAACTTTAAAATCACCTTACAAGGAAAGGGCGTCTAAGAACTTTTATATCCCGTGTTTGGCTTGTGTGATGCGCTTTATGCTTACTAGTTGCACGTGGATTATTTTAAGTTATAATTTTTTTTTTTGGTTGTGTTCGATGATATGTAATAGTAAGTTCATTCGTTCAAGAATAAATTTATAATTGAAATGACAAGTGATTATTTCACATGATGAATTTGGCAAAATTGGGATTGTCATAAAGACCACCTCAATCATGTAGCTTAATTATGACATATTATATGGAGGTGCTTAATGGCTTGATTTGATTATAATATATGTAAATATTTACCCAGTTGTTTCAGCTTTATATGCTTAGTTTGTCGGCTAGCTCAACAAGTTTATTGTATTAACAAATCTCCATTCTCTTCTTTGGATCTCTCTGTCGGTTTCTCACTAAAGAAAACTAACAGACGACGACGTTGAAGATGCAAGACAAAGAAAAGCCTTGTAGCTAAAATGAATAAGTTGTTTGGAATGCCATTAGACTTCTGACACTAAGATTGTTCACCTGATCTGCAAAGAGAACCATAAGGAGCATTTGAATGTAATAGACTTAGGTATTGTGACACTATGATGAACACCACTGATAGTTGTTTTAGATAACCTTCTTAATTTAAGGGTCAATAAAGAGCTCAGGTTGGCCATTAACCTAGCTCCTGTCAATCAACCTCTCAAAGAGAATTTCTTCTGAAGTTGATAATTTGATTAGGAAGACGACGGTTAATAAAAAAATGTCAATGGTCTTCTTTTTCAAAGTTTTTTGTGTCAGCAAAAATTATGTTGTTCTCAAAACATCATAAATAAATACAATTAACCTTAAAAGAAGAAATCTAGACTATAATAAGGTATTTTACAGAGCTATCAAACCTCGCCTAAATCAACCAAACAACATATCAGATGGTGAAATAAATGTGATTGCAGCATAGACTTGAAATATATGTGATTGCAGCATACCTGTGCTAATGGTTATTGCCTCTTTAGATTGCAGCATAGACTTGAAATACACAAGTTCACAAATCAAAAATCCAACCAAACATAGCATTTAAGCCCCAAAAGCAAGCATCTTCCATATTGTATTTGTACACACCGGCAAAGGGAAGGATCCAATCATAATCCAAAGTAAAACTAAAGGGCAGCTTCTTTCTTCCAGTTTTAATAGGCAAAAGGCAAGAATTACGCATCTAATGTGGAACACAAAGAAAAAAACATAGGATAGATGCAAATGAATTCTAAAGAACGCAAGGAAAGATAGCAAATTACAAACTTTGGAAATTCTTCACAGGATGACGAACATACAACCATTACTCTTAACAATTAGTACATATGAATTTTAGCTTTCACTTTTGGAAGTGCTTGTAAAAGGTTCATCTAAATATGACCTTGAACATATAAAAATTCAATACCCTTGAACCAACTGTCTATAACATTTCTATATATCGAACCAATAATCTGACATATTAAAACGCTGGATACAAAACACAATTAACAAGAATAACAGAAATCCAATGCGTATCTATGTATGATCATGAATCTGCAAAATTCCAAATGTTATTATCACGACAAGATACAAAACGAATAGATCATCAAGTAATTGATTGACATGCCAAAGTCCCAAACTTGAAAACTTATATTGTTCTATTGAGCTGTTTCCACATTAAACCCAATTGTTGCATCACAAGAAATGCACATGAATCAATCCACAAATTGAATTACAAGAAATTCAAAATGCAATAATAGTGAGTACACCCTACTTAAAAAATGTGGTAAATTTAGGGCAATAACTTCTAATTATGTTAAGTCTTATACACGAATCAGGCTGAAAGCTTCGGATACCAACTTTAGTTTTCTGTTTCCATTCCCTTTTGCAATTTTTCCCCACCAGCGAAATGGAAAATATATAAAAATAGACCAGAAAAAGAGTACCAACTTGGAATAATGGAAACAACTTCTCTCATCTGAAATCCGTCTGAGCAAACCCAAATCAGGACATTATAATGAAAAATTACAATCTTGAATGTTCTAGACCGAACTGAAAAACAAAGAAATCCAAATGAGAAACTCACAGAGGATAGTGGTTTTTCTGGCATTGTCAAGGCCAAGAACGAGAATCCGAGCTTTTTTGTTGAAAAATAGCGATCTTGTAAACACAAGTAGAACCTGCAACAATATCCAACACTTTCTCGAATCCATATTCACCCACCCCATCACCATGTTCCACAGTCACACTATCCTTGTAATATAGGGAATATCATCACAAAATGATTGGTTAAAGCAACTAATGAAAAGAAAATATGGCCAAAATTTAACCATTCCTTGGAAATTTCAAAATTTAATGGTGTCAATCACCATAAATAAGCAAACCGGCCAAGCCTCAATGGCATTGAGAAAACATTGTTGGATTTAACTTGGAGTTGTATTTAAGCAAGGATATACAACATAGATAAGGAAAACCTAAAAAAATAAAAACAGCTAAAGACCACACCTTTGCTTCCCATGTAAACTGTCAAGCTCAGTAATAAATCTGGCAAAGCAATGAACTCCATTACCACACATCTACAAAACACAAAGAATAAGTTGAGAATTTATTTTTTTTAAAAACCAAGTTTTCGATCACAATGCCAAAAAAATAAAATAAAAAATATCACACATTGAGACCAGCTGGACAAAGAAAAGCAACCTAACATACACAATTTTTACACCTTCAAGAAAATAGTGCCAAGCATCACCAACCAACACATACTGAAACAGCCATGTATACTATTACACTCAAGAAACAGGAATGTTAATCATTATTGCTCTTTAGCAAACAATCAGAACAATTTCGCTCTCAAAGTCAAGCATTCTTGAAATTCTACTCTACCTCACCATGCATGTTTTCCTTTCCTTTCTTTTCATTTTTCATTTAATAACATTAGATAGAAAATATATCGTTACTATTGTTCATCTCTACTAAACAAAAAGAAGGAAAAATAATTTTTTTTACTTCAAGGATAGAAAAAAAATGAATGTATGCGATTCGAATATAAGAATTCATATATATATATATATATATATAGAGGGGGAGCATAAAAAAATGGATTGCAGGAGTAGTTTAGGAGACTCAATTGAAATAAAGTCTTACATACGTGATAGTATAAATGATTTTGAAGTTTCACAAGTTTTCTCTGATGTCTGAAGAGGTTAAGACTAATCAAACTCTATTGGATTTGATTCCTAGAGTATTTCGAACCGATTCGCCAATAACGACATCAATTTAACTGCAAAAATCCAAACCATAATAATGAAAAAAAAAAAAAACCCATTCAAGATCAAAACATCTGACAAAAAAATAGTTTGAAGCCTATGCCGCATTTTTGCTGCTTCTTCAATGAAGCTTGGGATCGCACCAGTTTCACTATAAGCATAAGAGAATGACTTAGTGAGCATGAACAGCTTTTTTCTGGAGATAGAGGCTTGAACATGTAACAGATCAAGAGAAGCCCAAAAATTGTATAGCCACAAAGAACATTGGAAAAAAATAGGATTGTTCTCAAAAGTTGAAAGAGTTGACGATTTATTGAAGAGATTTGAATATGCAAGGGGTGGAGAGAGAGAGAGAGAGAGGCAAGGGGTGGGGAGAGAGATAGAGGAAGGCAAAGAGAAGGCCAAAGGTGCAGTAACGGCTTACGGGCAATATGTTAGGGATGTATGTATTAATTATGATTATTTAGATTTAATAGCAAATTTATTTATATGTACCAACATGTCCTAATGATATTTCTTAGGAATAAAAGTAAAAAACAAATGTTTTACACATTTCTGTACTTTTATAGGTAGTAAGATAAGTGGCACTATGCTGCTGCAGCTAGTAGCCACGTTGGCTAACATGACTTTTTTGGCAAAAAGTCTAATAGTAATTTTTAACATAGCCTGTAAGCCACCATTTTCTTCGGATGAATTGAAACACGAGGATGACTAGTGTCTGATGAAACTCTTCAGCATAACTTATGTTTTAAAAATCAACTTGAAAGAAAAAGGTGTTTAAATATTCATAAATATTCTCACCCGAAACAAGACATTTAAGATCATAACATCATATAATTGAGAAGAATATAATTTTTTTTTCCTTTTATTTGATTTGTTTTTTGAATTGCAATTAAAAATATGTCAGTAAAATTAGATGTTCAAAATGCTCACATTGGTTTTAAACTATATTCTCTGAAAATTTTGGCCAAATTTTCGTACCAAATGATGGGATTTTCAAATTATTTGGGTATGAACAAAAATCCAATACACATCTATGACTAGTTGGCTAAAAGGAAAATGGTCAAGAAGCCTTGAGGTTCCACCATATGATCATATCAATCAAGTACAAGACTTTTAACTTTTTTGAAAGCTCTTTATAAGTAATTTGACTAATAAGAAACTAATCAAATTCAATTGTCAACATTTTATATCAATTATTCTCTTGATAAAATAAAATGAATGCCTATATATCTAAGGTGAAAATGTGCACAATAAGAATTATGAGTCGGCTCCATAAACAAATAAAAATCAAGAATTAAATTCATGTATTTTTAAGTTTGATTTAATTAATACAAGTAATACAAGAGTGACATCATATTTTTATTTTACCTTAACTTAGTCTTAATTTTATTATGGTCGGCTTGGAGACATTAGGAGAAGACTACCATCTCTATATAGGTATGATTCATTCATTCGTTTGCTGAATATAAAACCCGATTATAGATTCACTATTAGTTTAAAAGGTGCATGGTGGGATTAAAATAAATAAAAAATAAAAACTCTGAATAAAATATCATTATATTATAAAATAAGGTAATTTTTTTTTTAAAATAGTTGAATTTGTAAATCAGTTACATTACGCTTTGAACCCTTAAATTATGTTTTTTTTTACTTATTCCCTCAATTATTAAAATTTTCACATTATTTTATCAATTATTGAATTTTTCACACTACCCTTTAACTAATTTGATTATTTCACATTGCCCAATAACAAAATGTCCGTTATTTTTGGACGAAAGTTGGTGATGAGTTGAGATAAAGTAAAAAAAATTATATAATTTGGAGTAAAATGAAATAATTTTTTATTAAATATGTAATAAATTTTAATAATTAGAACAATTTAAAACTAATCGGATATAATATAAAAAACATGATAATTGGTTTCCTAATCCGAGTTAGCCGTTAGCATAGACTTAAACCTGTCTTCTCCTCTTGGTTTCCTAATCGGTTGTTCACAAAACTAAAAATGTAGCCAAAGCCTCTCTTCTCCTTCACTCTCAACGGCTCTCTCTCTGTATCTTAACGATTCGAAAGAAGCGACGATCGTCTCTTCGTAAACCCTAAATTCCACCACCAGATCAATTCTTCGCCTCCTTTTGTTTGATTTCTCTCCCGTCTCTCCGCAAATATTCAGCAATGGAGTCGTTGATCGAACTCTGTGATCTGATCGCACAAAATCCTTCGCAGTTTGTTGTTCTGGCCGGATCATTGAGGGTTTCGAGGTTACAGCTTAATGCAGTACTCGCCATGGCCGTTGCGGAGTATACAGGAGAGATTGTGATGTCGGCGATAACAATGTCTGTGGAGATTTGGGGCTTTCAAGGGTTTCTTGAATGATCTGTCGCAGAAGCTGTGCTGCTGCTGCTCAAGGAGAGAAGTCTGGGGGTTCGTAAAGAACTTTCGGATGTACTCGGTAATAATAAATTGGATAGCTGTACGTCTTTTTCACATCAATTTGTAGCTGCTTTCTACTATGTGATTTTGTTTTTTCTGATTGTAGTTGTTTGTGTTTATGGCTTCGCAGTCGCACTGTTATCATATATCCATCTCCCAGGGTTGATGTAGACCAATGAGATTTGGAAGTCTCTGAAGGGGGGTAGACAATCTTTTTCAATATTATAAAGTTTTTCTTCCTTTTCTTTTGGTTATTATTGTGATACATGGATTCGTTTTCACTGCTTTCCTATATCAATTACCTAAGTGAAGAGCTATTAAGGTTCTATTCACTATTATGCCTTCACTTTTTATCTTAATCCTTCATTCATGTATTCACTATTAGGTTGTTTGCTTCCTGCTAATATTGGTAATTTTCGTAAATACATGTTGCTGTGGGATTTAAAGGTCATGCCATGAGGGATGGGGCGCATAAGCCGATTTTTTATGGACTACAAAGTAGATTACTGTCTACATTCCAGGACCTTCTATCCTCTAGCTGTCCGAACGAATGGTAAGTTCTAGGCTATGATGCAAAGTTCAGTGTTGGATCTTGTCTGCTTCATGCTTTCACAGTTTCACTCGTAGGAGTATGCAATTTGTTATGTGGATGTGGGATGATAAGAGTGTAATTATATTTATTTATCATTAAGGGTAGTCTAGTCTTTTCATTATTGTAGGGTTCCTTTTATATTGTCTCTTATACTCACTTTTCATTACTATGAAAAATAGAGTGCTGCAGATAGTTTTTTCTCTTCTTTTATCCTCTCTTCGTGTGATAGAAGAAGAGAAAAGCCATATGCGGCATTACCAATGGCAATTGGCTCTGAGAGGGCAAGCATTGGGTATTTAAAAATACAGTATTCTGAATTCACCTTTATATCCCAAAAGAAAAACCATCATAATCATACTTGAGTTTTTGAGAGGCCAGCCCACAAATTTCGCCTTGTTGCCAAGTGCAATGGGCATGGGGGGATATTATCATATAAAAATTGTATTAAATTAAAAATTAATCAAATATTAAATAATTGATAATGTGATAGAATTAAGTGATGTGATTTTTTGGAGGAAAAATATATATGGTATAAAAATTCAACTTCATTCCTATCTTATTATATAGATGTACTGTAATACTGGAATTTTTAAATTCACTTTGTCTTCTTATTTCTATTTGTTTTATAGAACAGTATAACATTTCATTTGGTTTAGTGTTTAGATAAGGTGCAGTTGTATGTTCTTGTCAAGAGATCGATTGACCACAACACTCTGCCCGACGACAATATTGTTCACGGACTTCTTCGTTTGGTTAGTATATTTATTCCTTTGTCCTTTCGTGCTTTTGTTATGTTTGTTTGCTGAACTCTTTTATTTTGTATGCCCAACTGGTGATTAGAATTATTTTCAAGTATGGAGAATTATTATCTGTTCAATGTAATTTCTTCATCTATGTCATTATTCGTTACTATTATTATAATAATTTTGCTTGTTCTTGTCTGAATTATTGGCTAGGATATTGCTCTAATGTCCGAAAAAGTCCATTGTCATAAATGCTCATATTTTAAGATATACAATCAACACCTGCACACATTTCCTTTGATGAATTACTCTTTTGTATTAACGCTCCCTCCCGTGGTTTTTGTATTGATCAATGCTGTTACTTAAATCTACTTCATAGGCTATGAAGGGAAGATGATGAGCAAACCTTCTCTAAATTGTCTTTTAATGGACACCCTGACACACCTAAAAGAGTAGAGGAGGCCAATTTTTTAGGACAGAGGGTGTATTTTATTAGTATTGTATGTTGTGCATCCTCATACGTGTATTCTATACTTATTTTTGTCAATCCTAAGGGGTTGGTACAAAGCTTAATTCTTTTGAATATATAAATAGATAAACTTTCGAGGGACATTAATTATATATGGTGGTTATCATTGTTGAAAGCAACCTGTTTGAAAAAACCTCTTTTATTCATTTCTTTGAGTCATGAAGGTTATGCTTCAGTACTATATCGAGTGGGAAGTTTTGTTGAAGTGCACTCGACAGACTGTCATGCATGCTTGAGTTTATTATACAACTTTTTTTGGGGTATCCCCTTTATTGACATTTGTAGGGGCTGTATAAAACCTGTGCTGTGTGCTTTACTCATTTGAGCTGTTTGTGTATTACTATGAAATGGTTAGTTGAATTTTCTTTTATTCAATTGTTTACTGCAATCTTATCCCAAATTATGTCATTCTTAAATTACCCCAATTTTATCGCCACAAACTACTTTCTCTCTCTCTCTCTGTTTTTTCCTTTTGAATCTCATGATGGAGAGGAGTTTATTAAACCAAAATAGTTGCTAGATCAAGAGGAGGGCAGGAACCTGTCCTCTGCAAAGGTGTAATGGTCTGCAAGAAAAAAAATTAACGTAGATGAATGTAGGCACATCCCAATTTTGTTTGAAAGTTAAAGAACTCTATTTTAGGCAAATGGAAGAGGAATGACATGCATAATTGATCTCTTGATTTGTGTCTCTGTAATTAGCTTTCAATCATTCCATAGTATTCTTTCCAGCTTAATCGCGTATGTAGTAGCATACTTGAAGTAGCAAATCTTTGTTTTTCCTTTCTCTCTGTTTATTCCTCCTTTTTAAGCATAATCACATGTATAGTGGTGCATACATACATGAAACTTAAATGGGATCACGTCGGTTGACTGTAACCCTAAATGAAATTTTGCCCCAAGCCACATTGATAATCAGTTTTGTTTTGGTGAGCTTATGGTATTTTTTTGTTGAATTCTATGATTTTGTGTAGGTGGTAATATTATTTTCAATGCTTTATTTTTTCCCCCTTTTTAGATTACTTTTTCAAGTAGCTTTTTTGTTTTTTAGCATCCAAACTTACTCCTTTCTTTTTTCAAACTTCAGTCTACATATATACATATATTTACCACTTGTGGATTCCTATGGTTTTGTCAGTGGGACCCAATTAATTTTAAAATGGACGATCATTCTTGACCAAAATTAACAAAACTTGAAATTAAGAGGATCTAATTTGTTTAATAATTGTTGTTTGTTGTCATGTGCCTGATTTGTTTGTTGAGTGTCATAATCATTGTATATATGTGATCATTTGTGATGTAGTGTAGTTAGCTTAGTTCTCAGTGTGCACAGGTGAAGATTGAGGCAGTCAGTTCAAAAGTATTAAGGGCAGTCTGTGAAAAAGGTATTCTTTGATAGTGATCACTATTCCTGAAATGGGTATACTAGAATGTTGATCCTATTTTATCATATATTTCTTATTTTTCTTGGATAGTTCTTTCCGATGGGAATGCCTTATCGTGATCAAAATCATGTTTGTAGTATTTGGAGTATCTTGCGCGGCCATTTTTGCTAAAGATGTTCATACCATGGGATTACATTGGTGCGGGTGCCACGATAATTTGATCGTACAACTTTTGACACTACCTTCAAACATATCTTTGGAGCTTTTGTGGGCCAACATAAATATTTTCTTCAGTTTTGCTGTGGGTTGGAGTTTCATGAATGTTAGAATATTACTGGCATTTCTTTCATGGATGTTTGACTATGAGTTAGCCAACTTTATAGGTTTGCAAATGTATCTCAGAATTATGCAGACAGATTTTTTCATAGTAACACGATGCTTTCTGAATGTAAAGCTCGGACTAATATTCCATAGCCTCAGGTAAAATTAGTAATTGGCGTGCACTTAGGTATTTACACTTATTTGAACAAACGAATGACAACTTTCTGTGACAAGCGAACACTTTACTTATCTGTTGGTGCTCCTGCATAAAATAACGACATATCCTCAAATCCAATTGTATGTGCATTGACTCTTGCTTGTTATTCACTTCCATATTCCCTATATGTAGCTAGACATGGTTAATTTTGATAGAATAAAATTTAGTCACGGAAACAATACAACCAAAGCTTCCTTCGTTTATATCTATATTTATACTATTGATAAAAGTATGGATGCATGGAAAACTTTTGATCACCTAAAATGTCCCTATCAAAATACTTAATAACAAATATAGTAACCCGTAATTATTAGTATCATTCATAACACTATTTCTTTTTTAATAGCTTAAAATAATAAATCTCTCCACATATTCAGTAATTATGTAACTTTCCCTACTATTTAAAATTTAGCAACAAATATTCCCTTTTTAATAGGCATCATAATGTTTGATGATATTAGTAATAACAATTTTATAAATACCAAAAATATCATTGAAGACATTGGATAGATTAGTATTACCCTAAAATACTGACTAAATGACATAGCACTTAGGAAAAACAAAATGTTCAAATATGTAGGCCAGTGCATTTTTGGGCAAATGTGGATTTCAGTTAAATTTTCATATTCATTTGTTGTTTATTTGCCTAAGATACCATGTGAATATTTTATTTGTGTTCGCATTTTTTTATTTCATTCAAGTGAAAACCATACCCAATTCACCGCAAAAGTATGCAAATGTTTAACACTCACTTCACTATTACTAGCAAACACTCAGATGACTGTAAATCCATTTTTGTCAATGTTTTCTCTCCTCTTTCCCTCTCATTCAGGTGATATTAATATATTTATTTTTCTCTCACTATTTTTTTTTTATGTTAGAGAAGATGTTGATTACTAAATACTGCATTTAATTGCCTTGTGTTTCACTTACCCAGAGTTCCCAGATTACTTGCTCAGTTTGGATGTTTATCCTGCCGTTAATGAAGGGTTTATTATGGTAACATTAACATACATCTGGTCATGTGGCATATTAGGAATTGCTTGTTCTATCTGAATCTTATTTGTGATTGTTGATTGGATCTGACCATTTTCGCTATTATTTCAGGTTTTAGAAATTAAATTTCGACAGGTTAATCTGGACTAGATTTAATCATTATCTCTTCTCTTATTGTTTGTGATGGTGTATGATCATGTTGATGAGCAAAAAGTGTAGATAACGTGTGATGAGCGTGGGTCAGAGCTACAAGGCTCGTGTGTAATGCTGCTGTGAAATACCGAGGGGATTAGAGGGGTGCACACAATGAAAATATAGTGGTTCACCGGCTCAGGAGCTCGCTAGTCCACTCTTCAATGGAGGCTCTTCCTTTTTTTTTTCTATTGATTGTTGGAATGTGTTACAGTACAACGTATCTCGAAATTAGGGTTTCTCTAGCCTCCCCCCTTAATGGAGGTGTTACATTGTATTTATAGGGCTATTCCCTGTTCTGTAAGATCGCAGCCAAGATCTTCAGCTGTCATTAATGGGATTCTCCTTGATTTTATGGGAGAATCTTGGTTGGTTGAGAGTTTCATGCTTCGTAACTCAATTTTCTCAGTTATCCAGTTGTTCTCTAGTCAGTTTCGTTATCATCTTCCTAGGGCGAGCTCTAGCTCTGACTTCTGAGCTCTTCGTATCCTACTTGACCTCCTGGTCTAATCTCATTTCCTAAGCTCGCTCTTATAACTTATTTAAGGTATCATCAGTTGCCCCCATCCCCTAGTTCAAGCGAGCTTAGGCAGGGGTTGAGCTGTTTTTAAACCGAACTAGGCCTTCACGTGGCTGTCCTTGGCTTGCACGTGATAGGTGCCCTTTGGACTGTTTTCAGCAATCATGATTTTCTCAATTCCTGTGCACACTTCAGCCCACGTCTTTCAAGCTTTCAATACTCAAACGGCTATTAGAACCGCCCTTTTCCACTGTTCGGTTTCTTTGTTGTCTTGCTCTTCTTGCGGTTTTTTGGCTTTCTGGTTTAAAGTTCTCTGATTCTTTGTTCAAGATCGAGTTTTTTGGGTTCGACTTAAAGATTCGTATTGCCCTCTTTCTTCAATTTCGCTCTAGGCGGTTGTTCGTTGTTCTTTCCTAACTAGGTACGCCTCTTTTTCCCCCTTTTTCACCTTTTCTCGTCCTGGATCCCTCGGGTTCGAGGTGGTCGTTGCATTTTTGGGCTTTTCGGTTCTTTTACCTTTGGAATCAAAATTGTTGCTTGTCTCCTCTTCCCCATTTCGTGGATTGGTGCCCTATCGTGCGAATTCTCGCTGTTGGAAGCTACTGTGTTGATTCTAGGGTTATCTGAGAGTGCCTAATTAATATCCTTCATATCTACTGTTCTTTCAATTTACCTTTCTCTTGTCCAATCATGTCTACCCCTTCCAGAGTCACTCACTCCTTTACTTCCCTCTTGGAAAAAAGGTCTGCTGAAGAGGACACTAATTTAGGGGATGTGGGAGAGAAAATTGACAACTTTCCTGGCGTTGATGCTATCGACGCCGAGGTTAATGCTGAGGGACCTCTCCCATCGTCTTCTTCTGTGCCCCCTACCCCTAACAAAGGTAAGGGCAAGGTGAGTGGGGTAGGAATCTCTGATAGGGCAGCGGGCATAGGGGCTGTCTTTAGGCATGCTGAGCTCGTAGGTCTTAGTGAGGTTGACCCCTCTTTTATAAAAATTTTCAGCGCTCGTTATGGTTCTCCTCCTGGAGTCTAGCCCTAATGCCTAGATAAGTCCACCCCATATGTTGCCTAGGTTCAAAAGAAAGTTTGTTTCTTCATGGCCGCTTTTGAGAATGGCCTTTGCTTCCCTTTGTACCTCTTCATCAAGAATGTTTTGCAACACTTCAATGTTTGCCCTGCTCAGCTCTCTCTTAACTTCTGAGGTGTTCTGGTGGATTTTCTAGTCTTCTTTAAGAAACATGGGCTTGGGGTTCCTAATCTTTCCTTGCTCATGGACATTTTCAATGTCAAACTCACCTCATCTGAGGGCTTCTTGTATATCTCCAAGCGAACCACGACTAGGTAGATCATTACTCACCTCCTGAGCTCCCATAAGGGCTGGAAAAAGAATTTCTTTTTCGTTGGGGGCATCAACTAGGAATACAATCCTACTGATAGAATCGATACTCTTGGTATCCCTAAAGCCTGGTCTACCCCAGATAACTTAAGTGAGTCCTTGTTCGAACTGACTAAGTTCTGGCTTGGAGATTATGGGTTTCTTTTTGACATCTGCTCTTCTTGTATTGTTTTTCAGGTGCTCGACCTGAGCTCAGTGCTGAAGATGAGAGGGTGAAGTAGAAATTGGAGAAGGGTAATCCAGAGAAATACTCCAAGCTCATCAAGCCCTGAGTTCTAGTAACACAGGGATTTAGCCCTCCTGAGGTATCGATAGAAGCTCCATTCCCAATCTCTGTTGTTAGACCTGAAGACGCAAAAAGTAACATTTTCTGAATTGATTTCCTTACCTTCCCTTCTTTTTCCTCTTTTCCGTTTAACTAGCTCAGTTTAGACCTTTCAGGTTCTTCCATAATGAAGTTTACTCTTGAGGAACTTCAGGCTAAGGTTGACCTATTGAAGAAGAATAGGAAGAGTAGCAAACAAAAGGCTGAAGTTAGCTTTGGAGTCAGCCACGTTACCAGGGCTAAGGTGCCAAAGCTCTTGGCTTGACCAAAGAAGGACAAATTCTCTCATCTCAACCCTCGACAACCTCCTCTCTTCAAGGGGCCTAACTTGCCCCCAAAAAGGCTTCTGAGCCAAGGCTGGCTTCCCCCACCTCTTTTGGGGTTTAGGGAGCCTTGGGGCTGATTACTTGAATTCTGCCAGACTCCACTCCTCTTGAGCCATCTAAACGACCATCCCAGTTGTCTCCCCGGAGCCCCAAAGTCAACAAGAGGGAGAACCTGAAAACTGACGAAGACTCCTTCTTTAACAACGCTGAGTTGGCTGCTGGGGCCATTTCATCCATTCTCCCTGAATCCAACCTCTAGAGGGGTTTTACCATGAACCCTGAGGTCTCTTTCTGCTCAGCTCTTCGAGGAGCAGCCACTGTAAGTGTTTTCACTTTCCCTCCTAGCTTGGTGCGGTTGACTTGTGCTGATTTGTACTTGTTTTCTTTTCTGCCCCAAGATGGCTTTCCATTTGAAAAGCTTGATGGGCAGGGTCCAATCTTTGGACGACTCTGCTAAAGCATTGAAGACATACGAGTTCAAGGTTGTTGAGCTGACCTTTGACAACGAGGACCTCAAGGCTCAGATGCAAGGGCTCAAGGAGCAAATGGAGAAGCAGGTCTCTAACCTCAAAGACTTTCAAGCAGCCAAGGACATGGCTGATGAAAAAGAGAAGAAGGCCAGGGATGAACTAAGGATAACCAGGGAAGAGCTGCTACTTAAAACTAATGTTTGGACCAAAGCTAGCCAGGAAGCCTTTGATGCTCGGAGTTCCCTTGAGAACCTTAGAAAATAGTATGTCCCCCTGACTGAGGCGAACGAGGCCTTATGGAGTGAGCTTGAGGTGCAGAAGGCTGCTATCAAGTAGATGGATTATTTAATAGCGAAGCTGAAGGATGACGTTATCACCAAGTGGGCCTCTAGATGACTGGCCTTTCAATGCAAAGCAGAGAAGACATACCCAGATCTCGACTTTGACTTTGCTATCCTCACCGAGGAGGAGTTGGAGGAGACTGATTCAGAGGGCGATGACAACACCCTGGCTCCTACTGCTCCTAATAGGGTTTCAGAAGGTACTGGAATGTCCTCTCCTCTGGCTGTTCCTGTTAATACTCCCTTCTCTGCTGACCTTGTGACTGAGGCCCTTGCTCAAAACTCGCCAATAGTTAGAATGGAAGTTCCTGCGACCAGCACTCCTGAGAATTCTGCTCTTTTGCCATCTGGGCCCTTATCCTCTGAGGTGTCGGGCTCCATTCCTAGTACTGAAACTTCATCTGCTGAACTGCAGGACCCTTTACATACTCCTTTTTCAGAAACTTAGGATC